GGATGGATGTTAGCTATTGGTGCCTAGTGGGTAGAGGACATGGATGCTGCTAAGCTTCTTAAAATGCACAGGACATCACAGGGCCTCTATCTGACCTGTTCTCATTCCTTGTGAATCTGCTACATCATGGCTGCTTCTGTAAACTGGACTATACCTTTTTCTGTACAGATGAAGCAAATTTCAGTCTCTTTTGAATGGGAACTTTCCATGCTGTCTATTTTCACGGAAGACCCTAACCCAGGACCTATTATCTTCCACCACTGCCCACGAGTCCTCAACTCTACTTCTTACCCTTGGCCATGAAACTTACCTCATCAGTTAAAATTAAAGCAAGCCTTGTAATTTTCAAAGTGCCTCAATTTCCATTATATCACATGAAGTTAAGGTCAAATGCCTCCCAATCATCACTTTCGTACTACAGTAAAACAGAAGTACAGCTGAAAGCCCTTTTATCACCTAGTAGAAAAAAGATCAAAGCTGTGTACTGTATGTTACAGGACTGTCAATCAATAGATGTTGTAGTACAACTACCTCATTTCCAATTCCATAAGTAAACTACTCTCCAATCATGACATCACCTGCTTAAACCTAAGTCTGTACAGAGGAGGATCTTTGTTCTGCCTTCTCTTGCATCACAAGCCTGCTTTGCTGCCTTTTCAGTCTGTCATTGTATTTAATGGTAAGTAATAGAGGGCTCCCTCAATCCTATTCTTTTCAGTTATCCACTTATGAACATTATGGCTGACATGGATAGATATTACCTTGGGCATACCTACCTGTAAGAGACTTTTGCCCTCTTCTACAACCATCTCTGAGCCTCCCAGTTCCACAGAAGTATACTTTCTGGAAGGTAGCTGGCTCTTGCTGATAGTGAATATCAAAATATATTTTCTTCACTTACTAAGCCCTTATTATAACTGAAAAGAACTCTGGTCGCAAAGCGGTTTACATGTAGGGCTGCTAAAGTGCAAGGCCAAACAGTTCAAAACCAGTAGCCATTCCAAGGGAGAAAAATAAAGCTTTCTACTCCCATAAAGAGTTTCAGTCTTGAGAACCCACAGGCAAGTCTATCTATTCTGTTTTATACGGCTGCTACAAGTCAGAATCAACTCAACGGCACCGAGTTTGTTTTTGATGAGTTTATTATAGCTGCCAACCCAGAATCAGATAAGCCCTAAAAAGCTTTCTTCTCTCTTAAAAAAAAAAGCCTCACTCAGACCCTGGTACTCCCTGATTACATAAAAGTAAGAATAAACTACTCTCAAAGTGCTAACACCAACTTTTAGAGATAAAATATGCTAGTGTTTTCACAGTTCTCTGCTGGACGCAGAAACAGCCACTAGGCCTGCAGTGGCAAGAGCTGCACTTCAGTCAGACCGAGTCTGTGACTCATCTCTGCAGCACTGCTGACGCACACACACAGAGCATCTCTAGTGTCAGGCCGACCGAGAAAAACATCTTTACTCTCCTCTCCAGGTTACATTGGGAGCTATGTTGGGCTGTGAAAAAGTACCAGCTGAGGAGGCGTTTTATTCCCATCAAGAGTTACAGTCTCAGAAACCCATGCGGCAGTTCTATTCTGTCCTACAAGGCCATTACGAGTTGGCATCAACTCAATGGCGATGAATTTTTTGTTTTGTTTTTAGTGGGTGGTGGTGGTGGCATTCTCCCTGTCACATTAGCTTCAACCCAATATCAATGGATGGAGAACCTAACTGTTATACTTATAGCCTTCGAGGATATTCTACTTCTCCAACTCTAGCCTCACTTTCATATGAATATGACCTGCTAGTGTGACTCTCGGGGAGGAGAGCTTTAGGGCTTGTTATCTACTCCTAATATGATGGAATAGAAAGTTCCTTTAGGAGTCTGACCAGGTGACAGCCTCTGTTACCTAAACTAAAGCATGTGTCTTGTGTCTCAGAAAACTTTCATCCTTTATTCTGATTCTTGTTATGCACCAGGAGTTGCCCATAACAACGGATAGTACAAGTACTGAAAGTGTTGTATCTAAACTGCACAAGATTTCCAAGAGTCCTAATACAAAAAGAAGCTATGTTTTTCTTTATACTGTATTTCTGATGCTGTTTTTAAAAAAATATGTACATAGCAGAACATACAAAGAGGCTTCAAAAATTTGTGGAAAGACGGGATTAAATAATAATGGTATTTTCCCACAAATTTTTTGAAGCCCTTTGTATATATTATACTTTTTCCAATTCAGCTCTTTATAGGTGTACAATAGAATGTCAGTAATTATATTAATGGGCTGTGCGACCCTACCCTACCCTACCCTTAATCTAAGTGATTTTTCCCATCATCATATACTCAAACTTCAGAGATATTTTCCTTAGTCTCTTGGGCTGCTAAGCACATGTGCTAACAAGGTTGACTGTCCAAACTCACCAGGTGTTCTTAAGGAGAGAGATGACGCTGTCTGCTCCCATAAAGATTTAGACTCAGAAACCCTTTATAGGATCACTATGAGTTGGAATCAGCACAGTGGCAGCAAGTTGGTCATGACTAGGTTATTTGTTTTTCTGTTCTTAAATTGTCAAATTTTTATATTTACTTTGGTTATAGGTTCTTATAGGGTACATGGTTTCTAAAGATATTTTAAGTAGAGCTGTATGTTCACTTTTTTTGGTTAAGTTTTTTGATGAATAAAAGTTTTAATTTTTATGAGGTCCTAGGACATCCTTGCCCACCTATAAGAACATCTGTTAATGCTTACACTTTGTTTTCCTTGTCCACATCATTCAAAATCAGCTGCAACAGTACAACATCAAAGTGAAACTGTAAAATAGTCTGTCCTGTGGTATTTGAGTCTGAGAAGTACAGTGATAAGACCTACTACAGCTATTCTGCAGAGCACCCATGTGAGCTTTAAAAACCGTATAATCACATAATGTGGTTTCTGAGCTCCAAATTTGCAGCTTTGCTTCTCTGACCCCATCTTGTACTGATCTCCATCCTTTTCTATTCTGTGAGGTTAGCGTAACATGAAAGAGCATGCTCTAAAGCTGGGGTGGGTGGGGAAAGATTGGTGCTCAAGTTAAATAAGGCCCATGAAATCATCAAAACCAGTTAACATCACACGCCCCACCGAAGAGAAGTCATGTCAGCCATCACTTAGGGGTGAGATAATTAAATGTTTGATCAATGTGTCCTTCAAATGGCCCTTGGCAGAAAAAGGTTCCCCACCCCTGTTCTAAAGGCATGTAGTGAATAACCTGAAATGCAAGCCTGTGGCACACATGACAAAACTAATGCCCTTAAAATTACCTGGGAAGAAATAGGAGATACTAAAAACAAAACAAAAACAAAAAAAAACTAGCCTCACCTGAAAATTCCCAACTATAAAAAAAAAAATCTATTCCAGAAGGAATATTGAATGGGAACAAGGTTCTCATTAACAGGGCAGCATCTGAGTCTGTAAATAAATGCCCTATCTCCACAATTCTACAATAGTACTACTCTCTATATAGCCATTGCCACACTGAAAGCTCCTCTGAGATTGTAAAAGCAGGTGTCTACTTTAGCATACAATGTCTATAAGCTGATTTAGAAAAGCTCAAGGTTACTTGGAGTTTAAAAATAAGTGAGAACTGTCCATATTCACAACAAACAAAAATTATTAGCTTGATATTAGACAGAAAATGTTTTCTATGGATTCACAATACATTAATTTTCTCATACTCTTCCCAGTAATTAGCAGAAAACTGGCCAACAAAGCAAGTCGCTAGCAAGTCTTTGTCCTTAGAGTCTAAAATTTTGCAGTAGGTTCAAGAGTAAACTAGACCATACCATGTGTTATATTACAATACACTACAAAAGTAATGTGATTCTAGAAAACCAGTATCAAGTATAGACATGCCTATTCAGTATGCATTTTGTCTTTTTCCCCCCCCTTGTTAAAAATCTTCATTTTGCTCAGGTATCAACTCCTGTGAGCCACAGGACAAGCTGACCCTTCATACCCACCAAAATTCTAAGGAATGGTTATATGAAATCTCCTATCTCCTGCCAGTGACTGGGTTAGAAATGAGCAATAATCAATAGAAGGCAAGGCCTGTCACAGGCTTATGAATCATGGAAAACCCAGTCTTCTCCTTCAGAACATGAATGACAAATAAGTCGTTCCAAATGCTCCTGGCTGCCACATGACATCTGTGAAAAGAACAAATCTTCGAAGCCAAGATGGGAGAATAGACAGAAGGAAAGAACTAGAGTACTTGATGACACTGAGTCAATGATCAAACTGGGAGCCCAACCTACCTCTAGACATTTTCTATGTGAGCTACTAAGTTTGCTTGTTAAGTTGGTTTATGTTAAATGTTACATTACTCACAATTGAAAATATCCTAAGATATTGCAATGCAATGCAGTGAGTTATTTTAATATGGCTCTACTAGTCAAGATTGTTTGTTTTTCCCAGCAAACAGCGTTCAAGTTCCTGATGGGGGTAGGCAAGGTAGGAAAAGGTATTGATTGGATTATGACTCAGCTGTGAGTAGCTGTTAACAGTTAATTGTGATAGCCATATGCTGGGGATCAAACCAGCCATCTCAGAAGCAGGTGAGTGGCTCTCATTACCAGCGTAAGAGAAGAGTCAGGAATGGAGTCCTTTGGACCTTAAAGATTCCTGTCCACTGATCCTCCTTGATCCAGGAGACAATTTTGATACCATCATTGCAAAAGAATATCTTTTGCATTGGGAGATCCAAAACAAAACTAAAAAAACCACACCAGTTACTATCTAGTTAATGTTAACCCACAGAGACCCTGGACACATCTGAGCAAAAAGAACTAGGAGTTTCCAGTTCAGTTGATTTTTGAAGTAGGTCACCAGGTCTTTCTTCTGCAGTGCCTCTGGGTGGCCTAAAATCTCCACCCTCTGGGTTAGCAGGCTAATACATTAACCTCTATCACCACTCCGGTGGAAGATCAGGGAGTCAAAGCCATCATCAGAAAGCATGCATATATTTAAAAAGACTTACAGGTCCTTGGGATTCTGTTTCTTCCCACGCTCCCAAACCATCACCTTCCCAGTTGGTTGATTTACCTATTTTTAAAAAGATTAAAGTGCTTACTTACATGAAATAGAAGGCTTAATATATTTTAAAGACATTTCTCTCTAAACACAAGATCAACTCCTTTATAATGCTATGGTGATGAAGAAAATTATGTAAATTGTATTACACTAGGATTTTACTATGCATCATAAAGGTAACCAGGAAAGATTTGATCTGTTGAATTTCCAAAGCTGAGAAAAACTATGATTTCTTTGAAATCTTAAGGTACTGGACACCAAGTTTGGCCATATTTATATAACTGTTAACAAATCTAAAGCTGAAAAAAAGTTTGTTACTTAAGACATTAACAAATTAAATGTACTCAAAACTCACATTCACTGCCTTTGAGTCCATTCCGACTCAGTGGTTATGGGACAGGGGAGAACTGCCCCTGTGTATTTCTAAGACCATAACGCTTTAAGAGTCATATCTTTCTCCCACAATGACAAAAATATGCACCTAAAATTTCATACTGATACTTTAATAAAAAGATGAAGAAAAAATATTTTTTGTTCAGCTAGTATTAGATATTTCATATAAACAACTTCAAATAAATTAGAAGAATTAAAGTTCAAATAAAATATAGGCAACTGGACACCCCCTTACTGAAGGGTTGTGGGGAGGAGATGAGTCAGTCAGGGTGCAGGGTAGCAACGATGAAACATATAACTTTCCTCTAGTTCTTAAATGCTTCCTCCCCCCACTATCATGATCCCAATTCTACCTTACAAATCTGGTTAGACCTGAGGATGTACATTGGTACAGATAGCAACCGCAAACACAGGGAATTCAGGGCAGATGACCCCTTCAGGACCAGTGGTGAGAGTGGCGATGAATGGAGGGTGGAGAGAATGTGGGGTGGAAAGGGGGAACTGAATCTACGTATAGCCTCCTCCCTGGGGGATGGACAGCAGAGAAGAGGGTGGGGGGAGACGTAGGACAG